TTGGGGGACACCACCAACACTGAACATTGGGGGACACCACCACCAACACTGAACCTTGGGGGACACCACCACCAACACTGAACCTTGGGGGACACCACCAACACTGAACATTGGGGGACACCACCAACACTGAACATTGGGGGACACCACCACCAACACTGAACACTGGGGGACACCACCACCAACACTGAACATTGGGGGACACCACTAGCGTCAGCGTGTAAACTCATCCCCGACGCTTCTTCGTCATATGACTTTTGCAAAGGGTGCACAATTTGATGATATAATATTTTCTTATACATGGTTTGTGTTTGGGGAATAATGGGGTTTTACTTGTAAAATTCATGTCGTTTGAAGTTATGACGCACGCACTTTACATTGTAGATGAGTATTTGATGTCATTAGGGAGAGCGCGGTGTTGTTTGGTTTATATTATATGTGAAGTGATTCTACTTCATTTTCTCTGCAGCTATTACACAATGTAGGAATATTTAGGGAAGAATTAGGAGCGTGGATATTTGTGAGAAAGAACCATATTACATAACCCAAGTTACAAAGTTTACTATTATTTCTACATAAAACAAACTGTTCTGTTACAGAAACGATGGAAAAGTTCTGATTTAAACATGAAATGAGCATGCAGGAGGGTTCTTTACCTCATCTTCACAATACTTTCGGATGACATCCAGTGCAGAATCTGTCAGCAGAGGAGCTTCTAGGACAACCTTAGTGAACACGCTACAGGAACAAATACAAGTCACATGAAAAGAACAACTTCATGACCGAGAAGAGTCTCATTAGTCTTCACTTACCCATCTCTCTGGTCAGGACGCTCCTGCAGACCAGTGAGGATTCCAATCAGACACTCCTGGTAGCTCTCTTCTCCAGCCCCAGATTGATATTCACAGTATTCCTGGTAAAGCCATGCCAGTGCCAGATCCAAGCGTCCCCGTGGATCACTCAGAAAGTGGGCCAAGATTTCAATCTTCAAGGATGGATCCAAAAGAGTCACCAAACGAGCAAGAACCTTCACTCGCATCTGCAGAAAGAGCAGGCTCTTGTTTTCATTGGACAACATGAATACTGCTAAATCTATTTCATTGAGGCACACCAAAAATGCAGCCCATTAGCAACCTGCAAATCCTCCGTCCCCAAAAGCCTCAATTTACAAATAGCTAGGCCAGTGATATCATGGGGGCCGAGAAGATGAGCAAGGAGTTCAGAACCAAGCTCATTTGTGTCTCAATGTCAAGGATTCGTAAATCCACTGTTCTCACATAAGAGGAGCCACAGATGGTGGACTTAACACCCTAAGGTTAGGAAAAGATGGACCAGCACAATCTGCATTACTTTGCTGACAAAAGCAGCCCATCGGCAACCTAAGAAGCCACAGCAGCATCCTGTGGAGAAACCTCTTGACAGACTGCATCTCACACAGCCTGAGAAACGGCACAAGGTGGCAACTCACAATGCACAGCAGCAATCGCTTAAGGCGTCCATACACTGATAGACATGTGGCCGGTTTTGAGGAACCGGACACAATTGGCACAGTGTGTGCACTGTCAGCACCCATTCAACTGATTGAAGGAGCCGGTTAGAAAATCTTCGATCAGTCAAAGCCAGCAGCTAATGAACTGCCCGCTCTGGTTGGGTATTCTGACAGGTGGCGGCAGCCACTGTAGGTAAACAGCGGGGATTCCTCGATCGACAAGCTGTTAGCGTTGATGGAGGAATTGGGTCTATTTTTTATGTTCAGGCCGCGGGTTGAAGGAAAAAGCCACAGTTAGTTCTCATTGGTAACTGTTTCAAGTAGTCTTCCAGGTCAGCCCATGACAGTGTGAGGCTCCGTCTCCGGAAACACATCACCCAATAGAATTCAAAAGGGAACCCACCAGATCACATCCTCAGTTAATTACAAGAGCTGAAGCACCCGAACCCTAAGGAAAAAAAACAACAAACAGCCAAATACAACAACATAATAATTATATAACAAAGGTGGGAATCCAGCTGTCCTGGAAGACTACTGGAAACAGAGTTACCGGTGAGTACTAACTCTGGCTTTCCCCAGTGCTCTTCCAAGACAGCCATTGACAGCTGACAGCTGGTAATGATTAATATTTTCGTGTTCGATTAATCAAATTTTTTTTAAATTGATTATGACGCACATACAGATCCAACTGCATTGGCCTATACACATACAGCACAGCAATGACCTATACACATACAGCACGGCAATGACCTATACACATACAGCACGGCAATGACCTATACACATACAGCAATGAAGTAATAAAATGAACTAGGATCACACTAATCCAGCACGTTATTCATCTCACGTGCCCCACCCAATATGGTCGCCACTTGGGTGGGGCAACTCAGAATAATAACGTGCTGGATTAGTGTGATCCTAGTTCATTTTATTACTTCATTGCTGTACGTGTATAGGTCATTGCTGTGCTGTATGTGTGTAGGTCATTGCTGTGCTGTATGTGTATAGGTCATTGCTGTGCTGTACGTGTATAGGTCATTGCTGTGCTGTATGTGTGTAGGTCATTGCTGTGCTGTATGTGTATAGGTCATTGCTGTGCTGTATGTGTATAGGTCATCGCTGTGCTGTATGTGTATAGGTCATCACTGTGCTGTATGTCTATAGGTCATTGCTGTGCTGTATGTGTATAGTTCATCGCTGTGCTGTATGTGTATAGGTAATTGCTGTGCTGTATGTGTATAGTTCATTGCTGTGCTGTATGTGTATAGGCCAATGCCTTGGCTGGCGCTCGTGCAGAAAGTTTCAAGTTGCAAACGCACTGGCCCAAGTGGCTCCGTCGGCTAACGAAGGGGGGAGGAGTCTGGTGATGTCACGGACATCGACATCAACAGACTCCTCCCCCTTCCCTTCGTTAGCCGACGGAACCACTTGGGGAAGGGGGGAGGAGTCCGGTGACGTGGATGTCCGTGATGTCACCGGATCGCCGTTGGGACTCCTGGAAGCCGGCGGAGAGGGGAGTGTTTTCATTAGCGATCAAAATAATTTTAATCGATCAAAAAGTTTAACGATTGATCGAGATATTAATCTTTATTTTCCACAGCCCTGCTTTAAATTATTGGACAAAAGGGGCTTCTTTCCCGGTTCTAGCCACTCTTTTAGGACGGAACTGGAAAGCACCTCGTGTACAGGAATAAACACGAGATCTTTTCTGCTGCAAACTCTGGAACATGAAATCATGGCGAGACTTTATCCTCCGAGATCTCCAAGGTTTCCTAAATTGCCCTGAGTAGGTCCTCTACATCATCCATGTCAATCATGTGGCTGAAGGGGATGTTATGAATAGAATGCGCATTGTCACTATAATCATCCATATCAGAGGGAGCCGGCAGACCAATACCTGCTCCAGATATGAAAGGAGTGGGCTTGGAAGTTGAGGGGGTCTCCGCTGGGGCTCTCATATCCCCTATCAGACTTCTGAAAGAGAAATAGGTGGAAGCCAACTCCCCCTTCTCCATGGCTAAAAGACTGCTGCTCGCATTAGAAGAATCCTCTTGAAATAAGTCATTAAAGTAGTATTAAGGTCTGGGGGCTTGCTCTGCATTTGGGTTAAAACCATCCAGCACCTATTTTCTCCCCCAGCCCCCCGACTTATCCGTCAGTTACACTCGTCCCCGCCGCCGGTCCCGAAGCGATCCTCCATTCCCCGAACTTCCTGCTTGCGGGGGGAGGATACTGATGGCAGAGGAGCTATAGGCTCCTCCTGCCAATCAATTAAAAAGAGCAGGGGCGTGGCCTGCCACAGGGCTGTGTGTGTGTCTATGGATGGTGGCACCCGTACAGGGGGAAGATTGCTGCAGGGACACACTAGAAAACGAGGAAGAGAAACGGCAACAGCCTCCAGCAAAGGTGGCGTCCTTGTAGGAGGCTTGAGTATCACTTTAATAGAAGTAGCAGCGAATCTCCTCCCACAGACAGCACATTCCTGTCTAGGTACATTTTTACTTTAATCGGTGGCTTTGGCCTAGAAGACATAGTAGAAGTACCACCAGTCAGAGAGCTCTTAACATTAGTGGCGACCAATCAGCAAAAAGGAGAAGTCCCGTGCATGCAGCAGAGCTAATGAAAGCCAAGCACTGCGAGGAGCGGTACCAGCCGCGGCGGCACACACCGAGACAAATCCAGCGTCCAGCGTTCCCTCCTGTGCCTCAAGTACCGCTCTTGGCTCCTCCCCTTCCCCTGCACCCAAACCAGGCTTGAAGCGCAGCCTCTGGCGCCTGGAAGTTGCGTCATCCCCAAACCGGAAGTGAAGTTCGGCCGCCACGCGGTTTCCTAGTCCCTGGGGAAGGCGCGGGTACAGACCCCTCGCCAGGTACTGAAGGGAAAAGGGAGCCCGGGTCAGCCTGCAGAGTGCGCAGGGAGCCGGGTCACCACTGTGCCGCATAACCCATTAGAGGGTCCAGGAGAAAAAAGGGGACATGTCGCCTCCGGACCGAGGAAACACAATAACCGAGGACGTCATCTGGTGGGATCCCTTTTAAATTCTATTGGGTGATGCGTTTCCTTCTGGAGGCGGAGCCTCACCTTTTTATGGGCTGTCCTGGAAGACGACAGATCAGTGTATGGCGAGAATATGCAGCATTGTAGATCCTTATGGGACCGCAATGACAGTCCTCTATGAAGGTGAACATGTAGACAAACCCAAAGCTTCAGAACCTTCCAGACACAAACCCAAAGCTTCAGAACCTTCCAGACACAAACCCAAAGCTTCAGAACCTTCCAGACACAAACCCAAAGCTTCAGAACCTTCCAGACACAAACCCAAAGCTTCAGAACCTTCCAGACACAAACCCAAAGCTTCAGAACCTTCCAGACACAAACCCAAAGCTTCAGAACCTTCCAGACAAATCCAAAGCTTCAGAACCTTCCAGACACAAATCCAAAGCTTCAGAACTTCTGCCAAACCTCTCCGGGATCTCCAGGTTACAGTAG